CCCTCTGTTTGAACTGACTGATTAGATCCCCGTTTACCCATGGAAGGTGATGGCCTTTAACCTTAATTGTTGTCCATGGGGCATGATTATCAATAATTTGGGCAAATTCATTATAAAAGAAATTCCAGGCAGCCTCCACATCAGGAATTAGGCCAATTCTGTTCCAATTAATCCTTCTCACATCTTCTACAAATACATCACAATTAAATGTTTTCAAATCACGAATCCTGATATATTTAGGAGGAAGATGGGGAGTTGAGATTTTCCATATGCAATATATAATAGAGTGGTCGCTAAAACAATCAGAGAGAACACCAGATTTAAATATTCTATTGGGGTGTGTGACTAGTATCCAATCAAGAAGAGATTTGCAGCTAGGACTAACTCTTGTTTGCTCTTTAATAATTTGTGTGAGATTTGAACTATTGAAAATGTTACATTCCGTAAGAGCACAAGGATCAGCCCAATCTAAATTAAAGTCCCCCAATATCATAATTTCTGATGAGTCCCCAAGTGATGAAACAGTAGCTAAAATGTTTCTAACAGACTCTAGCTTGGAAGATATGGGAGGGCGATAAATATTGCCAATTATTAAATGTTTATTTGCATGTAGAAAAATCTTAACAAAAAGACCTTCGAAAAGCTCCGGTTTTACAATGGGAGTAATTAACTGAGATTTAAGGTTTGAGTTAATGTAAGTGGCCACTCCGCCTCCTCTGGATGCTCTATCTAACCTGTATATTGTGTAGTTATCCAGATTGACACTTGAGTCTGTTATACTTTCATTTAGCCAGGTTTCAGATAATGTTATTATATTAGGATTATTATAAGCAAGCCATGCTCTTAGTTGATCGATTTTAGGAAGCAAACTGCGAATATTCAGATGAATTACATGAAGACCTTTACCCATAAGTTATGGTATGAAAGTGACAGTTAAGGTAGAAACAACTGGACATGGCAGATTTATAATAATGATAGCGACTGGGGTAAGGTGAACGTGAGAGCAAACCAACATACAGACAAAACTCTTGCATACCCATACACCCACACAGACACACACACACACACATACACACACTCACTCAAATCAAATCTTATCTTAAAACAAAAAATCAACAAATCAAATAACTGACTTGTGCTCACTCTCCTGAAAGTAAAACGACTGAGCTTAATCAAACATACTATTTTATTACATTTTACTAGATAAATAAGAAGATTCTCAGGTATGATGGAGCTCAGTGTTAAAGTCAATCAAAACACGAAAATATAACCAACTAAAAATTGGCAAGCCTCCAGGCTGTTGTAGACAGTTAATTTAACAGAAAATACTAACCAGGTCGAACCATGGATCATTTATAGTAACGGTCATACCTGCGAGTGTCTCATGAACGCTATGACGTCAGGCGCTGAACAGCGTGTCATGCCGTGCATGCGGAAGTAAACAAAACAAGCATGACAGGACGGCCGTATAACAGTAGTAGTGATGAAAGTCAGTCAAGGCTCATCTTCAGCATTGCGTGAATCAAATGAGTCGATGAACTTGGATGCCTCACTTGGATCAGAGAAGATGTTTTGGTCGGATCCGCGTGTCAACTTTATGGTGGCAGGATATAACAGAAAAGCTTGAAAACCCACGGCGCGGGCCCTGTTCAGTATAGCGAAGCACGGACGTCTACGCCGGGCGGTGGCATCGCTATAGTCAGCAGTGAAGCGAACAGCTTGGCCATGTACCAACACCGGGGACTTCCTTGCACATGCCAAAATCCGATCTCTGTCCGTGAAGCGAAGGCAGTTCAGGATCAGGGTCCGGGGAGGCACAGGAGCTTTGCGCGGAGAGCCAACTCGATGCGCTCGCATGAGCTCCGGGGGGCTACTGGCCAAATCAGGAAACCATCTGGGAAGGCTGCGCATCAGGTAAGTCAAGGCCTGATCTTCTTCTGCTCCTTCTTTCAAATTAATGATACGGAGATTGTTCCTTCTGCTCTGGTCTTCCATTGAGACTACTTTTTGCTGAAGATTCTCCAAGGTGGCATTTTGTTCGGAAGTAGCTTCCTCTACTTTCTTCATCCGTGTTTGTAAAGAGGTTGTGATTTTTCGCTGGGAATCCAACTCTAAGAATGTTGATCGAGAGTAGTTTTGATTGAGTCCAGCTGATTTTCCAGACGTTCAAAGCGAGCTTTGGCATTTTGGTCTGCCTCTGCAAAGAACTTGTGCAGAGTTTCTTCCAAAGACGCCATGGTCAGACCCTCACTCGAGGTAGTATCAGCGTTTGCTGCTTGCAAATTCTCTGGCTCTTTTGGGCTTCCCTTCTTCCCACGCATGATCAAAAGAATAATAGCAAAAAAAGATCATATAGTGGGTTCCACGCCTGGAGTTCTTAGTTTTATGTATTGTCAGTATTTTGTCAATTTAAGCAAGGAGAGCCGTGAGCGACAGTGCCTCTACTCCGCCATTTTGGACTCCCTATGATCCAAGTCATGGACCGACAGCCACATGAATCATTATGATCCAATAGTTCAGGATTTTACAAAGAGATAATTTTAACTCCAGTCCCAAGCGAACAAGAGTTAAATCAACCAGTGAGTGTATTTAAGTCATTTTCACATATCCACAATACAATTATGTATGGAATATTAGGTTCACGGAAATTTAGGTCTGAAATGTGAAGTAAAACAACTTTTTAATTCAATGCATTTGTGTCTCGTCCTTAATCACAACAGCAGTCGACTCAAACGGTTCGAACACAGGAAATACAATATTAACAAATCTGTAGGAGCCAGTGCCACACAGGGAACAGGACGACCACTGTCCAAAAATGATGAACCCCTCTCAGATTCTGCAGATGTCACTTCTTGATTTGTTTATCTTTTCTCATAACTGTAATAAATATATAGTAAATTCAAAAGGTTTTTTTTTGGTAAGTAATTTGGATTGTTTTTATCTTGGCACTGATCCCTGAAGAGCAGCTGAAGCAGTGTTCCCCAACCTTTTTGAGCCGTCGTCTACCTGTTTCATTAACACCACCATCTGAAACTGATACAGACATGAAACTGTGCAGCCTTTTTGAACAAACCTCATTAATGTGTTTATTTATTCATTTATTTGATCAATCAACATGTAAAACACTACAACAGGCTAATTTTCAATATCCGTCCCAAAGGCTTTTGACACATTTTACATTAATACATGCACATTGTACAGGCAGGACAACAAACAAACAATTCTTTCTTGTCAATTTAATCTTTTTTTTTTGCGTGATTTTGAACAATGTGTTGATATTGAATAATTTCCAAAGACACACCAAATATATAAACGTGCCGTCTCTGTCTCTAATGTTATGATGATACTGTAACCAAAGTGAGCTGATAGATAACAACAAAATATATCCTTCTATTACTACACTCAAAAAGGTTCCCATATGGCTTTGTGCCTTTGAGCAGAACCTGCCTCAGCTCTCTCAGGGTTAGCTCTATCAGATCAGAAGGGAATCCGGAGCGATATTAGGGCTGGTAAATACTATTAGCCATTGCTTCAAAGCGCACCACCGTTCTTATCTGGCAACGAGAAAATAGCTTACATTTTTATTACCTCTAAATCCCATATCAAAGAGTCCAGTCAGCGGTCAGTCGGCCTCAGAGGAAGCAGACTGATCATCCCACGCTCGCTGGGGTCTTTGAAAGCTGTGGTCTCAGAAAGTCTAGACCCGACCAGGGATCCAGATAGAACCAGAGTGTGCAATGCTGTGTTTGGGGAGGTGTTCTGGGGTTGTCCCACTGGAGGGAGGCTCAGTGGTGGGATTGTGCCTTCTAGCTGGCCTGGGAATGACAAGCTGGAGGAAGTGTAAGTAGAGAGGGAGGGCTGGGCGTCTCTGCTTTGACTGCTGCCTCAGCGACCAGGCCGTGGATGAAGCAGACGAAAAAAGTATGGGTGTTTAGGTGACAAGTTTTTTCTTCACGAGTCGCGAGTTTCCGTCTTTTGGAATTTGTATGTTGTTTGACTGTCATATATATAATTTATACATTTCTAGCAAGTCCTATAAAACGTTTATAAAATAATTGTACATCTTTTCCATATGAGTAGATCCAGGACAACAGACAGTGAACAGACTAAAACTGAAGCCATAATGATGACTTATAAAGGAGAGAGGACAGTGTCTCCAAATCCAGGAGTTGTTGTTTCCCTAAGTTTTGAAGTACCCTCCCCCTCACTCATTATTTTGAAATATTGTCTTTTAAAATCCAAAGTCCTTATTGTTACGGTTAGGGTTGAGATGTACCTTGACTAACCTGGTCTCGTCTCATCGGCAGTAGATTATTTGAGCCTGGAGCAGAAGATCTTGTGAACTTCTCCGTTTTGCCCTGAGCTCTGAACACAGTGTGAGTGGAGAAGTTTGGGCCGAGCGTTTGGTGTCTGCACAAAGTTATTCTCATCTATTTTAGCTCTGGCCACTGAGCAGACTGTTAGACTGAGAGAAGAAATTGAAATCAAACAAAAGGCTATTTGTATTTTTTTTAAAGCAAAGAAGCTGGATCATATTGCCCTTTTTAGAAAATAAAATGAGCAGCACATTGGCTGTAAACATTTTTGATTAATGTGACACAACAGCTTGTAATTTGGATTTTACAAAAGACATTTCATCAATTTATAAAAACGTGTAAGCGACTTTTTAGTTTTATACTTGTGTGCATGTGTGTTACCTTGTGACCTATGTTTCGCGGGTTTTGGTTCTCTATAAATAAATGGGGACCTCACTTTTCGAGAGAATCTCCAACTACAATTTGCTTTTTTCTGTCTCTGTCATCCCTCTCCCGTTTGGACCGCTACATTGGTAGCAGCGATGCCGCCGTCGCCACCTGAGTTTATGTGTGGTGGCTGCGGTGCGAAGCGAACATTTGTTGCTTGCTTTTTGTACTTTTTTGGTGGGCGAGTCTGACCTGACGGGGCCAGCCGCCATCATGCTCTAGCCATATTTTTGTGAGGGTGTGGGACTGGAGTGACTGTCAAGGACTGGTGTGGAGGAGAGCTGCCGCCGGGGATGACATTCCAGTACCAGACTGAGAATGTGGCTCGGGGCCGCTGAGGTCCAGGGTTGGACTGTGACATGTGCGCATTGGTGGCCGAATCCAGCACCGTCCCTCGGGAGCCACCGGATTGTGGTTGTGCCTGTTGGGGTGCCTGCTGATGTCTGTGTTCGGAGTCCGTGCTTCTGATGTTCCCAGCGCGTCCCACGATCCCGTGTTCTGTACGTTCTGATGATTTCCTGTGTTCCGGTCGGCGCAGTTGCTCGCCAGTTGTTTACCTGCTGCGGGGAGTCCAGGCTGTTCCAGGATCGCTTTTTTGGTTATTGGAGGACGCTGGGACTTTGATGCTGTTTTGTACAGTTTTTTTGTATGTAGTGCATTATTTCAATTGTAGACATGAGGACATGTCTTGTTAAAGTATGTAAGCGACTTTTTATATTATACTACTAATACTGCGCATGTGTGTCACCTTGTGACATATGTTTGGCAGGTTTTGGTTCTCTATAACTAAATGGGGACCTCACTTTTCCAGAGAATCTCCAACTACAATTTGCCTTTTTCTGTCTCTGTCCTTCAGCTCCCATTTGGTAGGCTACATTAGAAAATCTAAAAATGAAACAGCCATTGGTCAAGAAGTGAGTGCCACAGTGGCTGGCACTCCGGCTCCGCAACAAGTGTTCCGGTCAAAACAGGGCCTTTTTGAGTGGACTTTGCTTGTTCTCCCGTGTCTGCGTAGCTTTTGTCCTGATGCTCTGGTTTTCCTTACCATTAAAAATATGTACAACAGCTCCCCCTCTCTCTGGTCTCTCTCAAGTCTCTCTCTCTGTTCTCCCCCTGGCCTCTCTTACTGGTCTTTCTCTGGTTGTTATCGCTGGTCTCTCTCTGGTGTCTTTCACTGGGTACTCTCTGATCCTTCTTTTTGTCTCTCTGGTCTCTTTCTAGTCTATGAGAGCAGGTCCAAGCAGGGCTGGTGGAATCAGGGCAATATGTTACTTCTGGAGGTGGCTAGTTACCTGATAGAGCAGAACATTCTCAGAGGAAATAGTCGTTTAGTGGTCATACTAAATTACTTGGGAATCAGAATCAGAATCATTTTTATTGCCATGTAAGTAACAGGAAGTCAGACTAGGAAATTGCTTTGGCTCCAGGTGCATGAGTTTAAAACAGGACCAAAGGAACAGGCTTTAATCCCCTACAATTAGCCTTTATATTGTAAGAACTTATAGTTTACTGTACTAATCACATTAGTGCTTCTACTCTGATGCCCTGTCTCTCACCCACCTGCTCTGCCCCACTCCAGCGATTACACATAATCCGTGTTTAATGTCGTCCAGTAGATCCGCGGCTGTGCTCCGATTAAAACCGCCCAGATGTTGTTGGAGGCATCGCAGAGGTGGCGAGTGTGATTTTTTTTCCCGTAGGACCTAAACGCATTGCGTTCCATCACACTTACACAGAAGCCATTATCTCCAGCGGCGCTCGGAGAAACGCCACTAGACGGGGGAGAAATGGACAGTTTTAGAGGGTGGCTGTTGGAAGGATATAGGATTTTGATGGTTTGTGTGTGCGTGTGTTTGTGTATGTGCGTGTGTGTGTATGTCTGTGTGTGTACTCTTTGTTTAGAATAGAGAGACTCAAACAGAAACATTTGACCTTGTCTCCATGTAACCCTCGCTCTGCTTGTGCAGCTCCTTAGATTATGTTCGATAATTGTTTCTGTGTCTTTTGGCAAGGCACCTCCACCCCTGAGAAAACATGGTGCAGTTGCTTGAACTGAGCTTAATTCCTCCTGGCGCTCCAGCAGAGATGGATCCTTGCACCCCCTGCTGTCCCCTGTAGTTTTATACTTTTTTTCCACATTATATTTGAAACCATCAAATCAGATTCCATAAAACACAGTCCCAGCGGCCACCACCTCTCCACATAACTCTCATTTATGGACTTATCTTCGTGCTCGGGCTCTGACGGTGCTCTCTGCATAATCCCCTCGTCTCCTCAGAGACTCGGACAGTTCTTTGTGCGTAGTATTATCCCGTTGTGATCGCAGAGCTCTGATCAATGACCGCCTGGGTTCACATGACAGCCGTCTGCACCTGATGTTGCAGAGCAGAGGTCATCTCAGGGGGTGAACGACAGGATCTGAGATGTTTACTGCAGTGAGAGAAATCAACTAACCTAACTCTCACCTGTGAGTGTGGAGGTGAACCTGATCCAGAGATGATGGGTTCTATAGATAACCCACAATAAGTGAAACCCTTGATGTAGCAGCTGTATGTTTAACCCTTGTATTATGTTAAGGGTCAATTTGACCCATTTCAGTTTTTTTTCTTGTGTTGATCAAAGTACTGGTTATCCTTTCTTTTTTCTTCCTGAAATTTGGTGACTTTTCCTCATCTAGGGTCATGAACTGGTGTGTAAAATCTGGACACCTTGATGTGTACCGGAATGTCTGTGCAGAGTTTGTATACAAAGATGATGTTGCGGGTCATTTTGACCCTGACGCTTTAATGTGGGTAAATAGTTGTTCAGATCCAAAAAAACCATGTCTCTTTGACATTTTATTTTGATTGCCTCTGAGAGCCAGGTGTGTGAAGAGAGGGAACTTTCTCACACTTGTCCTTGTCACTGTTCTCGTGTCATCTCTTTTGCCTAGTGTACATCGGACTGGCAACTGATTATATCCGTCGCCTTTGAGTTGCTGCCCTGCACACAGCGACAATCTGGCGAAAACGGGAAACTCCTAGTAGCAGGCCAGTCTCGGGAATAACAGCGCGTACATCGACAGCAACTGGCCTCACCTACAGTGTGTTTTCTGGCATAAACTGTAGAGGGCGCAATACACGCAATACACACGTTATTGGAGCGCGCCACGGTGCACGCACATCGGGTGATATCTCTGGATCTGAGGACAACTAGTTGCCGAAAAGTAGAACACGGGCAACTGACTGAATCCGGAGATCGACTGTTTATCTCCAGTTGTAAGAGCGCTCACATCGACCGATTTCGGCAACTGATCATCTCCATCATCTACTCTCAGTTGCCAAAAGCCGCCTTCAACTAGTTAGGCAATGCTAGGCCCTAGACAAACTCACCAAAAATGAGCTCCAGAAGGATGACATCTGAGGAGGCTTTATCACAGATTTTTAACTGGGATAATGATGTAGAGGAAGAGATTTCAGAAACAGAGGATTTTTCAGATACAGGACAATGTTATTGCTGATCCAGATTATCAATTTTCTTACGATAAGGAGGATTCAGAGGACGAATCTTTGGCCAAGTAAAGAGGAAGGGAGGAAGGAAGGAAGGTAGGAAGGAAAGAAGGGAGAAAGGAAGGAAGGAAGGAAAAGAAAAGAAGGGGATAGAGAAGGATGAACAGAGAGAAGGAAAACAGGATGAGAAGACGGAAGGAGAAAGCATGGCAGGAGGGAAGAGGGAGGGAAGAATTGTCATTTTGACCCGAGAGGAGGACAAGAAGATCAGACTAAATCTTTCTTAAATATATCGTTGGAATAAAAAAATGTATTGTATGTCACTTTTTCTAAATATTTATATAACCTAAAATAAAGTTGTTATTGGTTTAACCTGTTTTCTTGACTGTTTTGAGTGCATTTACACAGTACGGGTCAAAATGACCCGCAACATAATCAATGTAATTTTTTTTCAACATAATACAAGGGTTAAGGTTATAAAACCAGAGCCAGAGAGACCGGAGACAGAGACCAGAGAGGAGACCAGAGAGGAGAAGACCAGAGAGACCAGAGAGGGAGACCAGAGAGACCAGAGAGGGAGACCAGAGAGACCAGAGAGGAAGACCAGAGAGACCAGAGAGGGAGACCAGAGAGACCAGAGAGGGAGACCAGAGAGGGAGACCAGAGAGACCAGAGAGGGAGACACTAGAGAGAGAGAGACCAGATACACTAAAGTAAGAAAGTAAGCAATGTTTATTTATATAGCGCTAAAGGTAGCTGTCCTGTTATACTAGCGGTTATAAGAGGTTGTTGGAGTAAACGTGCAGCGCATGAGAGGCACTCAGTAGAAAAGTCACTATTAACAACAATCCACGAAACAGCAAAAAGAGAATCATGTCATAGTGAGTGTAAGTGTACCAGAGAAAGAGATCAGAGAGAGACCAGAAAGACTTTAAACAAAAAAAACTGTCATGTTATCCTAGTGGTTATTTGATGTCATTGGAGTATACATATTGCCAATGAGAAGCATGTTCTAAAAAAAAAAAAAAATCCACAAAACAGCTCTTCTTGCACTAGGTTTCCCTTATCCCTAAAGTGTGTGACTGTGTGGGACTACACATAGATACAAACCTCATCTCTTTAGTAATAGAGACTGTCCCAGGTTCAGATAAACAAATGATAAATACAATAGTTTTACCTTTTCAATATTTGATTTTTGATATACTTTAACCTTACTCTCCACTGTTGAACAAAATTAAATATGAGAAAATGCCTTCTTTAACTGTTCTCCCACCCTTTCCACTCCTACGTGCTCCACGCTTCTCCCCCCGGAGTTAATTGATGGAGGGAATGAGTAGGTGGGTGAGTTCTGCATAAACCCTATTCCTTGTGATGTCACTGATGAAGAGGAGGGCTGGGGATGAAGAGGCTCCTGCTTCAGCGACGGCAGGAGCAGAGATCAGAGGGGACACATTTAGACGAGTGCTTTTCTTTTATCTGAGCCTCGCTGTCAGCCGCCGATGACACTGAAGCAGCAGGAGACACGCCTTTGTGTGGAACGAGAGCGATAATTAATCTGGATATGAATCTGTTAAAGCAGGAAAGTCAATGCAGCGCGGAGAATAAAACAGTATAGAGATATTGTGGAGCAGGAGGAAAAGGTTTGGGTTATAGTATAGTTAGATCAGATGTGTTACACACACTGGAAAAAATTTCTGTAAAATTACAATGACATTTCAACATTAAACAAATGTTATTTTAAAAAACAATTCAAACATGCAAATTGAAGTATAAATTGGTTAAAAAAACATCCAGTGGCGTTTTATTACCACAATTATAATGTGGTTACAATACCATAAAATCACAATGTGATTAATAATCACATTGTGATTTTATGGTATTATTATCGTAATTTAACATAAACTTAAACTTAAATTAACTTAAATTAAAACTGTGTAGTGTTTTGTTCAATGAAACTAATTAGAAACAGAAACATATGGTGTAATAATACAAAATGAACATTTTAATGCTGTTTTTGTTGTATGTGAATGAACAAGAACATTCAGTTAAATCCTGAAATCACAAAGGCA